TTAAAATTAATTAATTATAATAAATTTACAGAAAAAATTAAATAATTTTTTTGGTTTAAAATTGTAAAATTCATAAAACTAAAACAAGAAACCACAATCACATATTACTTGAAACCTTAAATAATAGGATAATAATTGGTATATTATTCGGTTTAACATATTATACAACATACATCCGTTCAACCATTAAAAATTACCTTTGAAAATTTTTCTATCATGAATTCAAATTTGAAAATAATAATTTCGTAATGAATATGTTGTAAAATGTGTTGAATCATAGCATATATCAATCATTCTTCTAAATAATAACATTCGGTTTCTGTATTGTGCAACAGACTCGAGTCTCTGGGTTGATGACAAACGCGCCGTTTATGCTCAACGTAGATTGCGATATGTTTGTGAACAATCCAGAGGTTGTTCGTCAGGCAATGTGTCTGCTTCTTGGCACAAACAACGAAAGAGAAAGTGCTTTTGTTCAGTTCCCACAAATTTTCTATGATACACCTAGGGATGATCCATATGGGAATCAATTTGTTGTTTTGTACAAAGTGAGTCACGTTCAATATTAATAAGTTTCTACTTATAATTCACAAATTACTTATATTCCTTATTCGTTGTTTTCTTGATCCATTTGTATTTTTGTTAGTATGCCTGTCCAGGAATAACGGGAATCCAAGGGTTTTTCTATGCTGGAACAGGATGTTTTCACAGACGAAAAGTGATATACGGTTTATGGCCGGGGGATGAAGATAATTCTATCGTTGGTAATGTCTATCTTATTCAAACGGATACGATCGACATGTGTTTTCATGTACAAGCATGTTGGTATAGGCTCTGGCCTCTAACAAAAAATAGTTGTGCACACTAACACAATAATTATAATCAAATGTGGGTGCAGGTCTGAATATAGAAACCGGCTGTCCTCATTTTATGACTCTAGCTTTACACTTTGACCTAGTTTGAACCATAGAATTGCAAACTGATCTTCTAATCTGTTTAACGTTTGAAAATTTTGTGTCCTTTGAATAGGAAATTTATCTTACAATGGCTTGGTAAAAGAATATGGGAATTCAAGAGAGTTCGTGGAGTCAGCAGCCCGTGCTTTGAAGGGGAAGATAAAATTTCAGAACAATCTTCCGAACAATCTTGAGGCAGCCTGCCAAGTGGCAGATTGTTCCTATGAGTATGGTACTAACTGGGGAAACAAGGTCAGAAGTAACAATATATATATACACATATATTTATTTATTTATATATATATATATATATAAACTAGTTTATTGGTATCATAGGAGTTTAAATTTCATGTTTTTTTATTGCAAATCAAAGTTTTTAAATAGATACCGATAGAAAAACCTTTCCGTTAAGTACTGTATAATATATTTATTAAAAAATTATTATTTTTTATTTAAAAATAAAGATTAATAAATTGAAAGATATAATTATGCACATAACATGTAAAAATTAACTAAATTAAATGTCTTTATATTATATTTTAATAACTAAACTAAACATGTATAAAAAGATATATTGAACAGAAAAATATACCAATCATTTTTCTTCTAAATTAGCTAGTACAATATGTATTTTTTTTTTTAAATAGTACAATATGTATTCTTATTGGTACACAATATGTTTATTACATAACACAAACTCCTGCTGTTACAAAAAAAAAAAAAAAATCTACTCAATTTGTCCTAAAATAGTAGTAGTCTTGCTTATTTTGACTTACATATCCAAAAAAAATAGTCTTATTTTGATTTTGTCTTTACATTAAGAATTTAGAAATAATTTATGTTCTTACTCCTTTTGTTTTAAAATAACTACTGTTTTTTTTTTACTCTTTTTTCCTCAAATTATGGATTCGAGAACAATATTTGTATTTTCGTATAATACTCTTAAAAAAATAAAAGACAAAAAATGAATTTTTATAATTGGATGATTAATTAAAGTGAATTAGATAATGATAAGGTTAAAGGAAGAAAAAAATATTTATCTATCTTGAAAATTAAAAAAAATGACAATTAATTTAAGACAAATTCAAAAAAAAAAAAAAAACTACAATTATTTTGGAAAAGAGAGTAACTATATTACCCTTAAATTTTAAAGATAAAAATAAAGAAAGACTTTTTTAAAAAATAGTTAAAGTTATAGATAATAATAATGTTAAATTAAGGAAAAAATATTTGTTTATCTATAATATAAAAAATGATAATTAATTTAGAATAAATTCTCAATCATAAAATGTTTTATATTTTGAAATAAAGGGAGTAATTGATTTTTTTTTACATAAAATTTGTCCAAAATAATAGTCATTTTTTATATTTTAAATTAAAAAAAATTTACTCTAACTCTATTATTATCTCTTTATTTTCATTAGATATTTAATCACAAAAATTCTTTATTTACCTATCTCATTTATTATATTTTTAAAAAGTAATATAAATAAAAAGACAAATTATTTCTATATTCTTAATTAGAATAAAAAAAATTTTAAAAACATTTGTTACTCTTTTTTTATCTTGAATTATATAATAAAAAAGAGATACTACTTAACTATTTTAAATCATTGGTAAAACATATATTATTATGAAGCAAAAGGAGTGCATACTAAGTCGAGGTTAGATTTTCTTCTGGTTTCTGGACTTTGAGGGTCCTAACTAATGGTTTGGTTTTATGATGTTTTCGAAATATTCAGCATGGCTGGATGTACGGATCGGTGGTCGAGGATATCTTGACAGGCCTAACAATTCATAAAAAGGGTTGGAAAACCATTTATGTGGCGCCCGATCCACCAGCGTTTCTAGGTTGTGCACCATCAGTCGGTCCGGTGGCCTTGGCTCAACAAAAGAGGTGGGCTACTGGGTTACTTGAAAGCCTTGTTGGTAGGAACAGTCCCATATTGGGCTTCCTTACAGCAAAGCTCCTATTCAGACAGTGCTTGGCATATGTTTGGGTTTTGTCTTGGGGTTTAGGATCAGTTCCTGAACTTTGTTACGCTGTTCTCCCTGTATATTGCATCATCACAAACTCCCATTTCTTGCCCAAGGCCAGTACATTTTTAATTTCTGCAACTCCTAAGATTCAATTCTTCTTTAACAAATTTAAGAACAAATGTAACAGTGCCCTGTTACACAAAAGTAGCTTTTTTTTATGGGAATTAAAATTACAAAATTAGCTTTTTTTATGGGAATTAAAATTACAAAATTAAAACTGTTTTAAAGTCTGCCCTCTAAAAAAATTAGCCTGATGTGTGAAAAAAAAAAAAACATAATGAATTAGGATTTACAAAGATTTATTAATGATGTTTTTATCTTTTTACCCTCTTATTGGCAAACTAAAAGAACATATTTTATTAAAAGTATAAAAAATAATGCATGTCAATTTTACACCCTGTCTTTAGAGTCTCAATTCAATTTTAAAGTTGGTTTTACATTTATAATTGTTTAATCAAGAAATTGTATCTTCTAAAATATGTTGAACAGTATTAAATTTTATACAATTAATGAACTAGTTAGATGCATTCGATAAATCTTAAATTGACATGTATGACCATCAATAGATCATTTGATGCAACTGGATCTTTGAAAATATTTATTGCAGGATAATATTTTTAAATTAAGACTTTATGAAGTCACCACTAATTACATTATTCTCAAAATTATAACTAGATTTAATTTGTAATCCGTAACAAATTCGCAGTAATGTTACTACCAAGTACTGTAAGTTATTTAGTCTAATAAGAATAATAATATGTCGTTACCAATTTTGTGCATGCAGGTCCATGAACAGATGGTATATATTCCTGTTGCCATTTTTGTGCTTTACAACCTGTACACACTGCTGGAATACATAAAAACAGGATTGTCGCTCAGAACATGGTGGAATAATCAAAGAATGGCAAGAATAACAGCAACGACTGCATATTTGTTTGGAGCTTTAGGTGTTTTGCTTAAGTTCTTGGGACTTTCCGAAACCATCTTTGAAGTAACCCCAAAGGATCAGCCAACCGATGATGATGTCTCCGAAGCTAATACTGAATTTACTTTTGATGAAAAGCCACTTTTTGTACCGGGGACAGCTCTTTTGCTGGTGCACATCGCCGCAATGTTTACCATCTTGTCAGGGCTGCGACGGCCAATTTCCGACGAGCATGGGGTAGGACCACTTGAGGTCTTGTGCAGCATGTGGGTGATCCTTTGTTTCTGGCCCTTTTTGAAAGGGCTGTTCAGGAAAGGAAAATATGGGATTCCATTACTCACCATATTTAAGTCTGCTGTATTGGTATTAGTTTTTGTGAACTTGTGTTGGACCACTATGGGTTGAGACAAATGAATTTTGGATGTGTAGTGTCAGCAATTAATGACTGAATGTAATGTTTAGAAAACTTGAAAATATGCATTTTACCGTTAAGAGAACTATAAAATTGGGAAAAAAAAGAGTTTTATTATTAATCAATTCATTTTGTGAATATTTTACCTTTCTCATCTTCCATCTTCTCACTTGTTCATGAATTTACACATCATTTAATTATGTTTAACTCCAATTATTTTTTTTTTTTTTGCAATTACAAGGGTGATAAACCTCCATCACGTAACTTCTCACTTTGTATCTTAATGGGTGATTAAATTCATTTAACTCATGACTTAGTAGGCGACTTAATCTTGTAATTCCTAAAATTCTTCTAGCTTACATAGCTTACATATAGGGCTTGTAACCTATTTGAAAATGACATGGAAGAAAGAAGAAGAATAAGAAATGTTCATGGTCCCTATCTACCTTTGTCTCTCTACTTCATACTTCTTCTTCAAGTTGTTTTTCTTTATTTTACCATTATTAACACATGAATTTGTCTTTAAAGAAAGTATGCAGCGTAATATGCGTACCTATATGATTCCTAAATCTCATATTTGAAGCAAAAGAACAAGCCTCAAATGCCTAAAGCATATAGTTCAAAAGAATGATAATTTTGTGTCGATTGATGTAAACAAATAAATGTGGTACAACTTTCTAAAAGAAGGGTTAAAAAAAAATAGTGTTACTCCATATATATTTACTAAGAGATAAAAGTGTAAAATTCACAATTGTTTCAATCTTAATGATTTAAATATTATTGGAATTCTTGAAGAATTTGGATAAAATAATAATATACTCTAAAGAGCGACTATAAGATAAAAAATTTCAAAATACCTTGACTGATAGATTAAGTATTTATCAAATTTGATTTTTATCATCAATTAAACAATTAATAAAAAATTTTAGAATACTTCAGCATAATAATGCTTGTATTGTGAGTTTACTAATGGTGGTTTGATTCTTGTTATTATAGATGACATTTTTCATCCTTGAAAAGATGAGTTTTGAACTTGAAGTATCATATTTGATTTCGATTGATGTATCTTACTAAAATAATTATGTTATATATTTTTTTTTCAAACAGCCATTGATATTTTTATTTTTTCATAAGGTATAAAGAATACTCTTGCCGCATATAATTCTGGTAAAAAAAGTTCATCTAAACACCTCAAGATTTTGTAATGGTACATGTTCATGGATTTTGGCTCCATTCATCAAAAGAGAAATTCCATCCCTCCAGCACTCCATTAATTCAGCAGTAGGATCTATTTTGCTCGAAGACATCGTTGGTTTTAGCCTTGGTGCCCTTGAAAATAGCATCGTTTTTTGCAGGCCACTGTGCCCATATTGTTGGAAGCCAAACCACCATCTATCCTCTCAGTGCTTTTGTTGCCCCAAAATGTTGGTTGAATCCTTCTTTACAGTCATTGGACATAAGTAATAGCCCACCATTGACAACATTTCATCCAAATCGCATAAGAGAATTTGCACTGCAACATTAGATGGCTAGGCTCCTCCTTTCTTAAGCCGTATAAACCACAATTAGCCTCACTTTCTTAGTTAATTATGTTCCTTTTTTACATGTTCTCGAGCATGGAATTCTCCCCTGTAATAACAACCAAACAAAGGTGCATACCTTTCTAGGGACCAATGCATTCTGGCACCTTCTCAAGATTTTCGCCTTTTTGTTATTGACTTCAGAAGTTAAGGATCCTGTAGCAGCTTTCACAAAATACCTCCCGTCCTTCTCATGTTTCCATCTTCGGTTGTCCTCCTGGCTTTTCTTTGGTTGAAAATTGTTCAGCGTACCTAACAGGTTTTGTTCTTGCTCTGCTTCCCATGTTCAAAGTTTTCTTCTCCATTTTGGTTTTCAAGACCAAGTATTCCCTGTCCATTCACCCATGTCTTGGATTGTGCATCTTTTATCTGCAATAATGAAAAACAGTCTAGGGAACACTTCATAAAGCTTTTCCCTTCCATCCAGTCATCCTGCCAAAAGGAAATACTTTTCGCCGTCCCTAGCTTTGTTATAAATCCCGATCATAGCCAATCAATTACGATATGTTATTCATTGGCAAAATTTTGATTCATATTGACTTGAAATAAGTAGAATGGAATTAAATAAATTTATCTTGTTATCTTCAAAATATAAATGATATGAAATTATTATATTTAAAGCATTTAAAATTCAAATGAATTGGATACATATATATTAAATATTTGTTAGACTAACATAAAGTGTAAAATATTTATTCATGATATCACAATATCTTATATTCAACTAAATATGCAGTGGTGGTCACATCTTTAAAACAATTCAAAAGCTTTTGCACCATTTGAAGTTAGTCAAGGATGTGTATGGTGAGGATTTTTATCTAACATATTCAAGAATATATGGCCTTACAACAATGGCAAGAAGTTTAAAGTCAATATACAAGGATATTATCGTGTGCATTGCATAAATGATATGTAGATACATCAAAAGAGATAACTAATATTTCACTGAAGTTTTTTTTTTTTTTTTTCTATACATTGAACTCCAAAACGTTAGGGAAATAAGTGTTCAACATGTCAAGTTTAGGCTTGCATCACGTTGGAGATATTCACTTGAGGGGAAAAATTATGTACACGCTACTCTTTTTTCTTTCGTCATACTTTTTTTTCTTATAGGAATTTTACTACCTATATTTTTAATAAGGCATTTTAAAAATATATAATAAGAGGTGAATATCCAATAAAGAGTATTATGAACCAATTCATTTTGTGGATATTTTACTTTCATCATCTTTCACTTTCTCACTTTCTTATACATTACATACCATATAATAATGATTAATTCTCTCACTTTTTTCACATAATTATAATGATGATAAACCTCCATTATGTAATTCTTCATTGTCATAACTTAAATTTTTATTAAAAAAATATATGTTTAAATTATATAATGAATAAATTGTAAAATTAAATTTTACCTTAAAATTTTCCTAATATAATTTATTTTCATGTTCTAGGACTCGCACGAGTGGAGGATTGAAGCTTGGGTTGAAATAAAAAAAAAAAAAAAAAGGCTTGGACCAAATTGGACTCAATTGCACAATCAACAAAAGAGGTCAATGGTCCAAAATGGGAGAAAGTTGCAAAATTGTCCCATAACCTAAGCCCATTCAACCATCTTCCAAACGCAACCCAACGCACACAAAAACAACCCAAACCCATTTCCTTCACGCACCGTTTCACCCCTCTGACTTGAACAAAACCCTAGCCCCAAAAGGAAAAAGGACAGGCGCCTTTCAACTCCCCCGATCTTGCCTCCCCTTCATTCTCCCAATTTGTTCACCCAGTGCCCAGTTCAAAATCCATGGCCCCACCAACCAAAAACCCCCGTTCATGAGGCAAGCCTGTAAACCTTAAATAAAGAAACGGTAACGTCAACATAGAAGTTAAAAAACATGAAGTTCAATATCTCGGCACCTTGGTACCTAAGAACGTCACCCTGTGAAGATCTAAATGAGCTCAACGTCAGCTGAGCAAAGTTGATTGGATGAGGAGTAATGTTGGAATAGTAGTTCGAAACCCAACATCTTGGCCCAGCTAGTTACAATGTGAGCCACATCTTGATTTAAGCCCAAAATATGTCGGCCTCATGAGTTCTTGATAAGTAATTGGATTTCCTAAGTCTAGTAGAGATGGGAGATTCAATTAGTATAAATACTAGCCCTTTAGGAGTTGTAAAATGTTAATAGGTTTGTACTCAGTTTTGGTATAATCAGGGACGGCATCAGGATTTTGTGTTAGGGAGCAAAATTTTAAAATTTTTTGTGAGTCATTTATCAATTTATATAGTATAATAATGTATAATGTATATCAATTTTTAAATCAATTATTAATTTTATGCACATACCACTTATATCATTTATGTCAAATTTTAAAATAATTTAATATATTTAACTATTTTTTAATAACATATAATTTAAGACTATTAAATAAATAGTATGGAAATATAATTTATTTTCATTGTAAGGAAACATATAAAATTTTCATTGTAAGATAACATATAAAATAAAATTTAAATTTCAAACATATAATTTACATGAATAGAATATATTCAACCATTAGCTTAATAAAATATTAATTACATAAACAAAAATTATATATAATTAATGTAAAAATTTATATAATTTATAATAATATAACTAGATATGGAATGTTTTTTATATTTCTTCTTACTTAGATAAAATTATAGTATTTTATAAGAATTAGTTGCAAATATCCCTTTACCTATGTCATAAATATTTATATTTAAATGTTTTTAAAATTAAAATTTCAAAAATAAAGTTTTGTAAGAAAATAAAAATATCTATATTATATTTAATATTTTTTAAAAGTTTAGGCGGCTGTTGCCGCTGTCGGCTCCGTCCCTGGGTATAATGAAAGCCTCTTCTGTGCATATTGTCTATCCGTGGTAAGGGTTTTCCGCATAAGTCTTGTTGCTATATTCTCTTTCTTTTTATGCATTAACACAATAAAAATCATTTGCGTAATAATATTATTATAATAAAAATTAATTTTTATAATTTTTATGTAAATTTATTAAAACAATACTTCTATTTTTTTGGTAAATAAAAATACTTTTGTTACGGTTTCCACTTATACTTTTAAAATACAATACAAAAGCAATCCTTTTGGCAATCCTGATATTATGTTTTTTCTAGGCAAATCCAAATGTTAAGCCCCTAGTCTTTTTTAATTTTCTCACACAAACCCTAAAAGAAAAATAATAACGTGCAAACTCCTAAATGTAACACTTAACTTCTTTGTTAATAGCAAAATCACACGTACAATCATATAAATTAAATAATTATTGATCTTTTTTTGTTTGTATAACAACTCCTTTACACTTAAATATTAATGTGATAATTTTTTTATATTCAAATGTTTATAATATATAGCTCAAAATTTTCAAAATTTAGAAATAAATGATTGAATTTCATGTCATATCAATATTTAAATATAAAAGAATTATAATGAAAGTGAAAAAAATAAATGAGTGTTTAACTTATGTGATTACAAGTGATTCCACCATTAACACAAAGGTTAATTTACTCAAATTTAGATATTTAGAAACTTACATGTCATTTTTTTTCTTTGAGAGCTTATGTGAGAAAATAAAGAAAATTTAGGGGCTTAACGCTTGTTTTTTCTGAGCTAAATAAAAACCGAAAACCGTTGAAACCGAACGGAATTAATTTTTTCGGTTCGATTTTCGGGTAAACAATCGATTCGGTTAAAAAATGCCCAGCCCCCGTATGGCACCACTGTTTTTCTTTTTTTTCTTTTTTTTTTTTGAGCTATCACGGATGTCAGTCGTACACAATTGTCATATGAAATGACAGGTCTCTATCCTCCTCACTCTATAGCGTCTGGCAACCAGGCAACCAGGCAACCAGTCAGACAACCATTTGTAAATGTTTTTTCCGTACCTTATTTAAAATTTGAAAGGATTTTTTTAGTTAAATGCAAATAAAATGTGCAAATAATTAAAAAATAGTTAAAGCATACATAAAATTTTTTTTAGTAAATAAAATTTATTTTTTAAAAATTTTATTTTAAATTACAAAATAAAAAATAATTTTTTTATTTTTTAATTTATTATAGTCATGTATTATTATTTGAACTCATATTTTTTAAAATACAAGTACAATCCAATGTTAAAAAAAAAAAATACAGATACAATTCTTTTGGTAATCATGATATTATGCTTTTCTAAGCACGCTCAAATGTTAAGCCCCTAGTCTTTTCCAATTTTCTCACACAAACCCTAAAAGAAAAGTAGTGGCATGCAAACTCCTAAATGTGACTATTAACTTCATTGTTAATCGCAAAATCACACGTACAAACATATAAGTTAAATAATTACTTTTTTTTTTGTTTGTATAACAACTCCTTTACACTTTCATGTTAATGTGATAATTTTTTTATATTCAAATGTCTATAATATATAGTTTAAAATTTTTAAAATTTAAAAATAAATGATTAAATCTCATATCATATTAATATTTAAATGTAAAAAAATGATCATGTAAGTGAAAAAAATAAATAACTGTTTAACTTATATGACTACAAGTGATTCTACCATTAACACAAAAGTTAATATACTCAAATTTAGATATTTAGAAACTTACATGTCATTTTTTTTCTTGGAGAGCTTATGCTTATGTGAGAAAATAAAGAAAATTTAGGGCTTAACGCTTTTTTTTCTGAACTATAAAACATTCAATCTCGAAGTCCGAGGTATGGCAACCACTGGGTTTTTTTTTGAGCTATCACGGATGTCAGTCGTACACAATTGTCATATGAAATGACAGGTCTCCATCCTCCACACTTTATAGCGTCTGGCAACCAGGCATCCAGTCAGACAGCCATTTGTAAATGCTTTTACCGTACCTTATTTAAAATTTGGAAGGATTTTTTTAGTTAAATGCAAATAAAATTTGCAAATAATTAAAAAATATTTAAAGCATTCATAAAATTCTTCTAGTAAATAAAATTTATAAAATAAAAATTTTTTATTTTAAATTTATAAAATAAAAATTTTTTATTTTAAATTATAAAATAAAAAAAAATTTTTATTTTTTAATTCATTCTACTCCTATATTATTATTTGAACTCAAATTTTTTAAAACACAAGTGCAATCCAATGTTAAAAAATAAATACAGATACAATTCTTTTGGTAATCGTGACATTATGCTTTTCTAGGCACACTCAAATGTTAAGCCCCTAGTCTTTTCCAATTTTTTCACACAAACCCTAAAAGAAAAGTAGTGGCATGTAAACTCCTAAATGTGACAATTAACTTCTTTGTTAATAGCAAAGTCACACATGCAGTCATATAAGTTAAATAATTATTTATCTTTTTTTTTTGCTTTTATAACTACTTTACACTTAAATATTAATGTGATAATTTTTTTATATTCAAATGTCTATAATATATAGCTCAAAATTTTTAAAATTTAGAAATAAATGACTGAATTTCATGTCATATCAACATTTAAATGTAAAAGAATTATAATGCAAGTGAAAAATCAATGATTGTTTAACTTATATGACTACAAGTGATTCCACCATTAACACAAAGGTTAATTTACTCAAATTTAGATATTTAGTAAACCTGGCAAATAGGTCAGATTGGGTGGATTCAAATTAGATCATTTCGAATCTTGAATTGTTCAAATTAGGTCATTTTGTGTGTTGGGTTAAAGAGATTGACCCCTGACCCATCCACACGAGTCTTAGATTAGGTCGGATGGACCCAACTTTTAAAAAATTAAAATTAAAATTAAATTTTTTTCCTATTTTTCTCTATTTTTCTTTAACAAAATCTAATACTGATTAATTATTTAGTTTAAAAACTTTATTATTAATTAACTATTTAGTTAAAAAACTTTATTAAATGTTAATTTTCATTTCATAATTTAATTTTTTTCCAATCTTAAGAAAAGAAAAGGAAAAGATTATTGATTATATAAGTAGAACTAAAATATATATCAAATATATAATACGTATATAATATTTAGAATTCATAATTTCATAAAAATATTAACGTTCATTCAAAGAAAAGAAATGAAGAATTAGAGTTTAAAAGTCAAATCCAATATATATATATATATAAATATCTAGTGCCTATTCAATATTTATAAGAGTATTATATAAAAAATACAGTTCTATTTAATATTTAGAAGGGCATTATACAAAAAATATAACACTATTTAATATTAAAGTTTAAAAGGTAAATCCAAAATATGTCTAATCATATACAAGAAGAAATTGGATCGAAATTGGATCGAAATTGATTTTTATTAATTAGGAATAAATTATTAATTAAGAACAAATTACTAACTAAGAATGGACCTTGATGTTCTTGATATTTTTGTTTTTATACTTTTAATGGTTATGAGAGTACCTCTAGCACTAGGTTTTAATTTTCAGTAGGCATTATTGTTTTTTTTTTTTTAAATGATCTTTTTTACGATGTTATATGACATAATTTATTATGTGTTACCTAATCTAATTTTTGACGCAAGTGCCACCAAAGAGAAGGATTAGAGAGCTTGAGATGAAGAAGGGGAGAGGAAGGGGGAGAAAAGGAAAAGTTGAGAGAAAGTGAAATTGATGAGATATTAGGGTTTGAGTATTTTATTTATTTATACTTTTAAGATTAAGAAATTAAAAATTTAACACTAATTTTTAAGTAATCTAATAAAAATGAATAAAAAAATTTGGATAATTTCGGGTGACCCAACCCACCATGACCCAACCCATTTAGATTCGGATAATTTCAATCCAAGTTATATCGAATTTTGGATTAAAATATATGACTCATGACTCTACTCATAATGAATGGGTTGGGTCAGATTTTCAGATTGGGTCAAATTTTGCCAGGTCTAAGATTTAGAACTCACAAGTCATTTTTTTTTCTTTGAGACCTTTTGTGAGAAAATAAAGAAAATTCAGGGGCTCAACGCTTGTTTTTTCTGAGCTATAAAACATTCAATCTCGAAGTCCGACGTATGGCACCACTGTTTTTTTTTTTCATGAGCTATCACGGATGTAGTCGTACACAATTGTCATATAGAATGACAAGTCTCCATCCTCCACACCTTATAGCGTCTGGCAACCAGGCATCCAGGCAGACAGCCATTTGTAAATGTTTTTACCGTACCTTATTTAAAATTTGGAAGGATTTTTTAGTTAAATGCAAATAAAATTTGCAAATAATTAAAAAATAGTTAAAGCATACATAAAATTCATCTAGTAAATAAATTTTTTTTTAAAATTTTTTTTATTTTAAATTATAAAATAAAAAATAATATTTTATTTTTTAATTCATTCTACTTATATATTATTATTTGAACTCATAATTTTTAAAATACAAGTACAATCCAATGTTAGAAAAAAAAATGCAGATACAATTCTTTTGGTAATCATGACATTATGCTTTTCTAAGCACACTCAAATGTTAAGCCCCTAGTCTTTTCCAATTTTCTCACACAAACCCTAAGAGAAATAGTGGCATGCAAACTCCTAAACATTTGCTTTTGAACAAATTAACACTTTCGTTAATGGTAAAATCACATATGGTCATTATAAGTTAAATAATTTTTTTTTTTACTTATATGATACTTAGATATTAATGTTATAATTTCTTTATATTTAAATGCCTGTAATATATAGTTTGAAATTTTCAAAATTTGAATTGATGATTCATCTTCAAATTTAAGTATTTAGTTACAATTGATAGAGAATTTATCTCTCACCTATGACTTGAAAATTTCATTTTCCCTTCATAATTTTCCATGTTAAAAAAAATTTTCAAAATTTAAAAATAAATTACTAGATTTCATTTTATATCAACATCTAAATGTAAAAAAATTAGCATGCAAGTAAGAAAAACAAATAAATATTTAACTTACATGATCATTAATGATTTTACCATTAACACAAAGATTAATTTATTTAAATTTAAGTATTTAAAAATTAAGGGGAAAGTAAGTAATGAGGTGGACTCTCTCTCTTCTTTCCCCTTTTCTGTCCTTTCTCTTTTGCTTTTGCCTCCCTTCTCTTGCACTGCGTTTGTTTTGATCGGAAGCCTTTGAGCTTCCAAGGTTTTGCTGCTTGAGCCACTGGGCTCCTCGACCGCTCAAGCATGCTGGGGTCGGCCTGTGCTCCCTCCTCCGATGACCCTTCAGGGTCTGTCGGTTCCTGAGTCCCTCTCCGGTGAACCCTTTTGGTTTTTCTGTTTTCTGATTGTTTTGTTTTGTTTTGTGTTCTTGTACAGTTTGTTTTTTTCAGTTCCGACGACCCTCGGCTCTTTCTTGTTGATCTTGGTAGGGGCTCGTTGGTTTTTTCTGTTTCTTGTTCTGTTTGGTGCAGATCTGGTGGCCTTCTTTCTCCTCCAGCAAATTTGTGGCAGCGCGCACAAGGGCTGCTAGATTTGACGCCCACCGCGGCTCTATTGTTGGTTCCGAGGGACTGCTGCCGTCTGATCAAGTTACCACCCCGACATCCTGGAGCTTGGCGCAATTTCTTCAAGGGTAGATAGAAGGGTGTTTTGTATAGATCGGTCGACTGAAGGTCATGGTATATCCTGGGTCGTTCGTGATTGTTCGAGTGCTGAGTGCACCTCCCTTCAGCCTATGGATATGGGTCTATTCTGATCTTTTGTTCCAATTGTATTTTACTATTTGTTATTTTTGTAGATACCGTATGGCAATATTTGTAATGAAACCATTCTGTTATGCTAAAAAAAAAAAGTATTTAAAAACTTACAATTTTTTCATTTTTTGAGATCTTAGGTGTGAAAATAAAAAGTCTAATGCTAATTTTTTTTGTTTTTTGATAAGAGTAATAGTTAGAAATTAAAAATTAGTTAATTTAGTATCTTACCTTTAATAAAGTTCAACCACTAATCAAAGATGCAATTCACGAACAACCCTTTTAAACCGTAGTAGTCACTATTAGACCATAACAAAAAAAAATACCACGTGCTAAAGTTTTCTAAGCTGTGAAACATTCAATCTCGAAGTCCGAGGTCAATTATGGAACTATTGTTTTTATTGAGCTATTACATATGTCAATCTTACACAATTGTCAAATGAAATGATCGGTCTCCATCCTCTACAGTCTTAGGCACCCAGTCAGACAGCCATTTGTAGATGTTTTTTCCGTACCTTAAAATTTGCAAGGATTTCTTTTAGTTAAATGCAAATAAAATTTTAAAATAATTAAAAAATAACTAAAGTATATTTAAAATTCTTCTAGTAAATAAAATTTAATTTTTAAATTTTTTTTATTTTAAATTATATAATAAAAAATAATTTATTTTTATTCTTCAATTTATTTTATTTATATGTTATGTTAGTTAAATTTAAAATTTTTTATTTTTAACAAAAAAAATTAAATTATTTAAATAGTTGAAAAAAATCTAACCATTTATGTTCCTTTAGTCAATTTCCGTTATAGCCATCAACGTGTTTAGGTTATCTCACCGTTACCCAAATTGAACATGAGCACCTTTTAACTAAATCTGGACACACAAGCCCTAGCAAAATAAACACGAAGAAAAACGATTTAAAAATAATTTTTATTTTATAATTTTATATGTAATTTAATGAAAATTTCTTTTCATATAAATGTGTTTTAAATATTTGAAAATTTAAAATTTTAAGTTAAAAAAAATTTAAATTTAAATTTTGAATGGATGAAGTTAATTTTTTTTTAAAAAAAAATTATTGTTATTTTTTATTATATGATTGATTGTCACCTATAATCTAATATACTAAAAAAGTGATAGTTTGTTTTTAGTTTACTTAAACTTATGATGTTACATAGAAAAAAATAAGAATAAAAATATTTTAATACTTTATATGTAAGGATTTCTTATAAAAAGTATTTAAATATCTTTAATAAGTTTTTTTTGTTAATTTATTAAAAATATTTTAATTATTTTCTTATTATTTTGTCATTTTAATTGTAAACTAGAATTCAAACAGTGCTTTGCACAGTTTATTCGTATGTTTTTAGTGTAGGTTTTTTTAATTATTTAGTATTTTGTGCTAATAAATAATTATAAATATATGATATTATTAATTTGATTTTTAACAGTGAAGTATTATTATTTGTATGTACTTTAAAATCTTAATTAAAACGTTTGGGATTTACTTTAGGGGCTATCCCTCTTTTTTCTTTTTTCTTTTTTCTTTTTTTTTTTCCTTAGCATTTGATTCGTAATCTGATGTTGCAAATTAAAAACCTTGGGTTAAACATTAAGCATTTAATAAAAGGTGGAAAAAGGCTAACCATTAAACTTTCCGCAGATCCAAGAGTAGGAGTGGCTTTAAATCATCCTGAACGCATCTTCTCCAGTCATCCTGTTGTTACTAAAAGTTGCGGCATTTCTTGAATGCCAAATTGACCAGACTGTTGCGTACCAGACAATCTACCATCCCTTATCGTTTCGGGCTGCCCATTTGTGTTGGGTCAATGCCTTCCCTACAATTATTGTGGAGAGCATATTGAATACGTACCCCACCAATGAAATCTTAGTGAACTAATGACAAATATTAATCTCTTCAAGATAAAACAGAAAAGCAAGGAAATCTTTGAGAATTTAGTTTAATTAATAAAATAATTTATAATAGATAATACAAATTGTTAGAGTATGATAATTATTGCGGATTTTGCTATAAAAAAAATTTACAAAAGAAAAAATTAAAATAGTGTGTGCTGAAAAGATTCACTCTTTTAACTAGTAAAGAGAATCTCATCATCTTTTAAAAAGTCTAAGAGAAAAAAATGAAAACTCTTACATCATTAAAAAAAAAATGATAGTATCAATAAAAATAAGATATAACCTGTTTTATTAAAACTAAAAAATAATTGTGGGTTCGAACAATATGTAATAAATTAAATATCTGCTATGCTCACAATTGTCCATATTAATTGTGGACCCTCACCCTAATATTAATTAATATGTGTTGGGGTGAATATTGAAAGCTAGCGTATTGGGTGGTTGAAAATGGTCTATTCTATAATTTTCCATTTTAATGGTTATAGCATATTAATTGTGGGACTCACACCCCCTTTTTTTCTTTTTTGATTGTCACACACCCTAATGGTATTAATTAAGGTTTATAAATATTTTACTCCTATAAATTAATTAAGCAATCTGCCTAAGTGAATTCGAAAACCCTAATGGAGCTTATTTTGATGAAACACCCTAATTTATAAGATTTATAATTCTGGAATCCACACTCTTAATTGATAGACCAAGCTTTAGATTTTAGATTTATTTCTTATTTTATATTGATTTATTTTTTTATTTTATTAATTTCTAGATTTCAATTATATTTTTCAAGTATTGATTATTTATTGAAAATCTTTTTAAGCCAATTTAAAATTTATTGGGAAATTTTTAGAAGTCTATAGAGTATTTATTTGAAAATATTAAGCTTCTTTGGTATTTAATGAATTTTTTTTTTCTAGTTTTGTAAATATTTATTTAAATTTTTTTAAATTTAATAAGTATTTATTTAAAAATTTTAAAAAAATTTATTATTACAATAATTATATATAATTAAAATAATAAGGGCACCGTACAAATCAATTGCCCTTGAAACAAATGGGACTCACATCTTCGCTTTCAGTCACCAGCTTTTCCATCTAAGTCCAAGGAACTGTTTGGTACAGTGGTGGGGTGTTTTT